ATCTCTTAACAGGCAGGATCAACAATTAACTATGATTTGGTTATGGCCGAAAATACCCCCGAAGGTAAGTTTGTGGGGCTGTACCATGAGCAATGTTCAGGGTTGGATTTCAGTGCTGGGGGGCAGCTTGGAGTTTCTTCACCCCACTCCTTGTCCAAATTCCAGCCCCCCCTGCTCTAACCCACCAGCCCCACTCCCTTCCCAGAGCTGGGGAGAGAACCCAGGAGTCCTGGCTCCCAGCCCCCCTGCTCTAACCCACCAGCCCCATTCCCTTCCCAGAGCTGGGGAGAGAACCCAGGAGTCCTGACTCCCAGCCCCGCCTGCTCTAACCCACCAGCCCCCACTCCTCTCCCAGAGCTGGGGAGAGAACCCAGGAGTCCTGGCTCCCAGCCCCTTCCTGCTCTAACCCACCAGCCCCATTCCCTTCCCAGAGCCGGGGAGAGAACCCAGGAGTCCTGGCTCCCAGCCCCTCCCTGCTCTAACCCACTAGCCCCACTCCCTTCCCAGAGCTGGGGAGAGAACCCAGGAGTCCTGGCTCCCAGCCCCTCCCTGCTCTAACCCACCAGCCCCCACTCCCCTCCCAGAGCCAGGGAGAGAACCCAGGAGCCCTGGCTCCCAACCCCGCCTGGATCCAGCCAGGTTCTGTTTATTCTCTCTGCCTGCAGTGCTGAGGGAGGATGGCTTCGGGATGGACCCCAAGTTTGGCTGCCTGGTAGCCGAAGTTCCCCCTGACCAGAGGAGCAAAGACGGTGACACATGGGAATTTGGGCGTGGGGGGGAGGGCTAAGCAGGGAGGGGGCTGGGCAGTGTTTGGATGGGAGACTCACGTGCCCCCACGGAGCAGGGCGGGTGGCTCAGCAGGGGGCGCTGTTCTGCACGGAGTGAGGTGTTTGACTCCGCCCCAGAAGCGGGCGCGTCTCAGCGCTGGGCAAGGGGTCCCTGGGTAACCGGCCGCCCCGCCCCAGAGGTGGGCGCATCTCAGCGCTGGGCAAGGGGTCCCTGGGTAACTGGCCGCCCTGCCCCAGAAGTGGGCGCGTCTCAGCGCTGGGCAAGGGGTCCCTGGGTAACCGGCCGCCCCGCCCCAGGAGTGGGCGCGTCTCAGCGCTGGGCAAGGGGTCCCTGGGTAACCGGCCGCCCCGCCCCAGGAGTGGGCGCGTCTCAGCGCTGGGCAAGGGGTCCCTGGGTAACCGGCCGCCCCGCCCCAGAGGTGGGCGCATAGCAAGCCATACAAGGGGCTAAATCTTTGCTGGCAGATGTGCCCTTGTCTCTGCCTTCAACGCTGGTTTCTCCAGGGCACACCGTCGTCGGGTACCAGTTCCATTATTTCAGCTACTGCACCTGGACAGGGCGGATTGTTTTTGGGGAGGATCTGTACGTCATGCCAGAGTTCAGAGGTAGGGGG